CACCCTTTGATGGCATTTCGGTAGGCCGTACCAAGAGCACAAGAGAAAGCACACGACACTCCGAGTACCAAGATGCCGGGCTGTCCCCAGGTGGAGCTCGTCCTCGAAGCTCAAGCCCGCCTCGGACCGCTCATACGGAAGACCCGTCCGGAGCCCAACAGAGTCATACCGCCAACACTGCTTCCGACACTCATAAGCGGTCGTTTGCCTCAAGAGCAAGCGCCAAGTATACCCCGTCAGGACGAGCCCACGATGCTGGAGAGCCTGGAGGAAGCAGACCGACAACAGCAGCTGCAAATGAAGGTACGCTCGTCATGTCCTGGCTCACTCAGAATGCAGAAACTGACCACCTCTTAGCTCAACCCAACGCTAGCACACCCTCGAACAAGGCAAATGGCCCTTCCATGTACGGCGCATCCTACCATTCTGAGAATTCTTCTTTTCTTGCGTCGATCAATCACAGCACCCACCATCCCTCCAAGTCAACATCACCCGTGTATGGCCGACGGCCAGGCTTCAAATCCCAGGCCACCATGCAACCGCGCAAACACGCAGAGATTCTGCAACACCTTCTCCAAGTGGGGATGGCTCCTCCACCACTCCAGAGTCTCTTACCCCTTTTGAGCGCAAACAGCGCGAACTACTCGAGAGGTTGATTCACGGTGCAAACACGCCCAGCAAAAGACAGCGGTCCGAGATGAATGAACCCGGAGATCATGCTGACAAATTTTGTACCAATAGCTTCAATTTTGTGGTTGATGACGACACGTTTACACGGACTACTCCTGAGCAGAAGAGGTTTGCCCGGAGCAGTGCTGATGATATCAACACCAGTTTTGTCGATGAGCAAGGGGCCGATACTTGGCAGTTTAGCGCCGGCAGCCCCCACACTCCGCAACAGGAGGATCCGTTCGCCAAGCGCCGCACCCAATCCGCAAGCCGTACGGGACGCAACTCGCCGCTCAAGCGCCCGCCGCCTCGTCCCGCGAAGGAGCCGCTCCCGGCCGAGAATGAGAAGACGGCAGAGGAAGTCAGGTTCGACGCAGAGGGCTGGAGTCAGAAGATTGGCCCGCAGAATTTTGCACACCAGCCAACTCAGACCAAAGCATCTTCTCCAACACGACCCTCACGCTCCAACTCGCGGAAGCCAAAGTCGGTCCATCCAACCGTCGGAACTGCCGGCTTGGTCAATGAAGAAAGCAGCAGCAATGAAGACACAGATGGTGGTGCCCGCCAGCCGGAACCTGAACCGGCCACAACAGGCAGTCCAATGCCCATGGACATAGATCCCGAGACGCCGCCTCCCAACCCCAGAAGCGCGCCCCCTTCGAGACGGGATAGCGCTCGCAACATCCCCGTCGAGCCTTCACGACCTGAGTGGCGACCTGGAAATGTTCAACCCGTACCCGAGACGTCACAGCCGAATGGTGTCAAGAGGGCCCCTTTCAACCCTAATACGGCGGGATCCGAGGATAGTGAGGACTTCCGCGCCAGCTTTGCCGATTTGAAGAACGTTGCTCCGTTTGCAACAAAGCCGACTGGGCTCAACTCATTCGGCGACTTGAAGTCGCAATTGCCGTTCGAGAGTCGGGCGTCGGAGCGGATACCCATTGAGAAAGAAAAGAAGCAGGATCCCGAACTCAACTTTCCGCCTGTTCCACGCGCTCCTACTCCGCCGGCTGCCCTGGCCGTGTCCGGTCTCAGGCCCTCTCTTACGACGTGGCAAAAGTATCTCGTTGAGTTCCAGAACTACCTTCAACAGTGGGATGCTTTCAACGCCCAGATCACCTACCACTTTGAAGTTCGCAAGGCACAGATTCTGGAAGAACGCGGAACTGCAGGCTATGCATTCCTCACGACACAGGGTGACGAGGGTGTCGAGCAATACCTCAGCTGGGTTCGCCAGGACAAAGAGGTTCGCCGCAAGTGGAGCCTTGCTTGTGACGAGCACGAGATGCGCATGCTCGATTTCTTGAAATACAAGAAGCTGATGCGGTAACTTGGCAATGTTGACTAAGGAATGACAGGCCACAAAACCTGTTTATATTTGCAATCATATTAGCCCATGACTTAGGCGAACGACAACATCGCCTACAATCATTCGGACACGACAGCGATAGTGCAACGAAGGCGCAGCCTTTCTTTCCCGACTTTTTTTGACGCGGTTTGTTCGCAGTTTTGATGCCATGGCTGGAACAATGGCAGCTTGGTATACAGTACCTACCTCGGCTCAGAGCGCATGGTAATTGGTCACGATGGAGGAGGCTCGACTTGACAACGATAGACGGCTTGATTGGGCATCGGGGGGAACCATATTCGGGATTTGGTTGGCGTTCCAGAGGATTAAGGGGTTGTCCTCATGTCGTGCGCTTTTCTTTCTTTATTGCTTCGGATATTCTGGGGAATGGGTAGCTTCGCCGAGGCGCAGTGCATAGTGAGCGACGCGTTACTGGCATTATGATTCGCGAAACATTGAAACCCTGTTGTCTCGTGCTTGCTCGTCCGTGGAGCCTGTTCCATTTGATTCCGATCTCAGCTGGCTCCAAGGTCATGTTGCAACGGAACCTCCTGCGAGTTGATTCCGCAACGCTGAAATACTCCGCAGGATTGTGTGAAACCACCGGTACCGGGTATGCTTCCCATCACATACTTCCCAGGGTTGCCCACACCCTTTCCGCAAGCCACATGCTACTACACTGCATTCAATATGTCACTGTCGAACAGTGATGTGGTTCTCGGTCTCAATATACACGAGATTGATGGATGATACAGGCGGCTTGCTCACTGCGACCTCTTGCACGTGTGTCTTCATCTCGCACATATTGTCACTACTGGCATCACTTGAACATTTAAATCCGGACAGCGGGTTTTGATTTCCTGGCATCAAACTAGCCCTGCGAGCCTATCTCTTCCAGTGAGTGTATGGTGCTAAAGCCATCACAGGCAGACGGCTGAGGCATGCCAGTTCCCAAAACGTAAAAGCAAGAAATGTAAATCGTCGAGAATCATTCAAGACAGTTTCGAGGGTGTCAAGCAAGGAAGTACTGTCCCGGAATCATGCTGTCGTCGCTCGCGTAGCGGCAGACGTGTCAGTGCCACAGTCTGGATGGACCAGAAGCTGTTGGGCTCTCAACTAGACCTCGGCCTCGGCCGTGTCCTTCATGTCCTCGTCACTATTCTTGGCGTCTTCGACATCAGCGGCAGTGCGGGTGGGAGGTTCGGTCTCCTCCGAGGCTTCCTCCTCCTCCTCCACCTTGGCAGGCGTCTTCTTGGCGGGAGTCTTCTTGGGAGTGCGCTTCTTCTTGGTGGCTGAGCCCTCTGTGCCACATGTCAGTTCAGCTTAGGGTTTGTAGCCGAGAAAGAGTGTGTAGAGTGTATGCGGAAGGAACGTACCCTCACCGTCCGCGCCGGAAGCGCGCTTCTTGGCTCCGCCGCCGCGCTTCTTGGCAGGCGTCTCGGGAACGTCCTCGGCGTCAGCCGTCCTCCGAAAGCCACGGCGACTGCGGTCTTGGGGGGTGCTTTTTCTTGCGAGCTGTTCGGCCTTGTCAAATACCGACGCGGTCCCTTTTCTCCGCTGGTATGGTCTGGAGTTTGTGGAAACTTGATAAGTACGTACGAGTCTTCTGTTTGTTGGGCACAGCGACAAACTCGCCTTCGCGGCGGCGGCGGTCTTCATATCGTTTCTGTAGCGGTCCCAGACGGCGCGCATCGAGGCCGTGGTGCGGCTGGGAAGGGCCTCGGAGATGGCCGTCCAGTCCAGGCTCTTGCCGCTGCTGGCGTGGAGCTGGCCGAGGATGTTGTTCAGGACGATGGCCTATTGCGCTGCTGGTAAGGGACAATACTTGAAGGTGGTGGGTTGGTGTTGAAGACGGGGGATAGGTAACATACTCGATCAAGTTCAGTCCAGGGAACAGCCTTTGTGGTGCCCTGGCCGTTTTCGTTGGCGCTGCCGTTCTTTTGAGTTTCCGACATGGCTTCCGGGTGTTCTGATTCTGTTTCCGTGTCTTCGTGTTCGTTCGGTGTGCTGTTGATATTTGGTCTTGTTAGCAGAAATGATGGCTGATGAGGGCGTCGGTGGTCAGGAGAGGGTTGAGGAATGAAGTGAATGAGAGCAGGAGTGCGAAGCAGGTGACTGATTTAAAGAGTTCCGCGATAAGTGAAGAAAGTGAAGGCACGCAGAGTGCGGATGCCTGTACTAGGCAGTCGATCAAAATGAAGAACTCGCGGCAAGTTGGGTTGCGTGGAAGGTCCTTGAACTCAGAGACAGGCAGGCGCGCCGTTCGAAAGTGACGAGTTCTGGGGCCCAGGAGAATCGGTGTGGTAAACAGTATTCATGAAATTATAGTCACTCACGAGCAAAAGTAGTCCAGCTTTGGATCAAAAGTTACACTTCTCCTCTTGGCCCGACAGGCTGAGCGAAGCAGGACAGGCATCGTATACTTCAGTACCTAGGTGCGGCCTCCTGCGTGAGACGTAAGCGATGAGATGCCAAGCTAGTTGAGAGAATGCAAATGTTTAACTTTATCCATCTACGTATCCAGATGCCATCGGTCTCACCAATCCTGATGATCACTACTTTTCTTCCTCGATCTAAAGGCCAGCCCGTCGTCGTTGTCCCACAAGCACGATGAACACTCATGCGCCGTACTTGACAGTCCCAACCCGTAATGCCCTAGTCACCTGCAGCTCGGCGCGATGGTGATGGCGTGCATTTCACAGTGAATGCTGTGCAAGTAGCAAAGCATGTTTCGAGCTCACTGCCAAAGCATGTATGATATATTTGCCCACTTGTTCTGGTTGACCCGGAACTCCATGACTCCATACAGCCAACATCCAGCGAGAAACTTCCATGGAGGACAGAAATGAAGACGTCCTTCAAAGACTAGCTACACAAACCACCCGATTCTTGATGTGCTAATGTGCACCTTTTTTGAGTCGAACTGCGTCCACGTTATCCCAAAAGAAAGCCACACCTAACTGCCAAGGTACAGCAAGGCTACCATAGAATACTGCACAGTTAATAAATCCCCGAATGCCTCCTCGAAGTTGAGATAAATTCGGGATTCGGCTCAGCCTGTTAGGCCTAGCACCTCAGCTTATAAGATCCGACACTGCATGTAAACCGCAGTCACCGCCATCACAGCGTGAATGTATCGGACAAGAACACAGGGTCATTCATCATACCATCGTCCAGTGTTGCTCCATTGTGCGAGAGAAAAAAAGAGTGATGCACACCACACCGAGGCTCAGCCTTGGGCTAGACCATACTGACAAAAGTCATGAGGTGCCATGGGGATGAGACACTTCAAGACCTGCAGATGATGTTGTGCCTGGTGCTCTGCGATCCGAGTGCCTCCATTGGATTCGGCGTGAAGAAGGTGGTGTCGAGCGCTCCGACCCGTGACCCATTAGCTGTAGTTCAACACCCTCCCCAGGAGCTGCAGCTGTATGCATCTCCCGGTGCTGGTGGGCGGCGTAGAAAGATGTGCCCCACACCATCTACGTCACTTCCTATAGACGCATAATGCAGGGACCAAACTAAGCCCCTGTGGAAACCTGGACCTGGATGGACAGTAGCAGTAGCGGAACTCATTGTCCTAGGCAGCATAAATATGTAACTAGCCGAAACTCAATTCGATCCCAGGCGCAAACCATTCGCCGCTCTCAAATCCAGGTTCCACGAAAAATCGAATGGCTCCCAGCCGGTGAAGGTTGTCTCGAAGCATCACATGCACCGTATTCTGCTCACGACTAGACGGACCGGGATACGAAGTCTACCATACACCAACTTCGACACACCACTTGCCTTGTCGGCGCCGACCAACCCTGCCTGGCCACGATTCCAGACCCTGGCCAAGACACGCTCACGCTCCATCACCAACTCCAACAAAGGCAAGACCAACGCAAGTTCTGGCAACCTCTACGACTCCAGCTCGATCACGGAAAATATTCATAAGCTCGGCCGTATAAGTCGCAGCTTCTTCCGTACAGCCGAACATCGTCGCGCGTTCTCTGGCGCTTCCATTCCTACAACCGCGACCAACTGCATCATGAACGGCGCCAAGGTTACCCGCTCCAAGCGCAAGGCGCCCACCAGCCCCGAGGGTCTGCGCCCGAACAAGCAGCATCGTGCATTGAACGGCAAGTTCTCTGCGGGTGATAACACCCCTGACGTCGAACATGATGAGCCGGTCTACGTCGAGGAGGACGAGTACGACGAGGAGGAGGTTGCTCGGCTGAACCCCATGTTCCCGGCTACGCAAGAGCCCGAGGCGTGGCAGCATACCATCGAGAACGTCATTAGCAACGTTGTCTCGATCAGGTTCTGCCAGACCTGTTCTTTCGATACAGATCCAGCTCTGACGAGCGAGGCCACTGGTTTCGTCGTCGACGCTGAGAAAGGGTACGTTTAGAAGCGCCATTGGGCCCCTTCATTGGGGGCGGTTAGGCTGACGTGCCATCAATCAGATACATCCTGACGAATCGTCACGTTGTTGGCTCCGGACCCTTCTGGGGCTTTGTCGTCTTTGATAATCACGAGGAGGTCGACGCCTACCCGGTCTACCGTGACCCCGTCCACGATTTCGGCATCCTACGGTTTGACCCCAAGGCCCTTCGCTACATGGATATCCAGTCGCTGCAATTGCGACCAGACTTGGCCAAGAGTAGGTGCTGCCAGATTCTGCACACAGCGACATGCTAACGAGACATCTTAGTCGGTGTCGAAATCCGTGTCGTCGGTAATGATGCTGGAGAGAAGCTCAGTATCCTGTCTGGTTTCATCTCGCGTCTCGACCGCAACGCGCCCGAGTACGGAGAGGGGTACAGCGACTTCAACACCTGCTACTACCAAGCCAACGCCGCAGCAAGCGGGAAAGTTCCGGCAGTCCTGTTGTCAATATTGACGGTCTCGCGATTGCTCTGCAGGCTGGCGGTCG